TCACCTCCATCCAGATTCTTTGTCCAGTAGCAGAAAGCCAGCTGTGTCAGATGTTGTGTCATCCGTAAGCAGGAGGCCGGCTGTGTCAGGTGTTGAACCGTCAACTAACAGGAGGCCGGCTGTGTCAGGTGTTGAACCGTCAACTAGCAGGAAGCCGGCTGTGTCAGATGTTGTGTCATCCGTAAGCAGGAGGCCGGATGTGTCAGGTGTTGAACCGTCAACTAGCAGGAAGCCAGTTGGGTCAGATGTTGTGTCATCCGTAAGCAGGAGGCCGGATGTGTCAGGTGTTGAACCGTCAACTAGCAGGAAGCCGGCTGTGTCAGGTGTTGTGTCATCCGTAAGCAGGAGGCCGGATGTGTCAGGTGTTGAACCGTCAACTAGCAGGAAGCCGGCTGTGTCAGGTGTTGTGTCATCCGTAAGCAGGAGGCCGGATGTGTCAGGTGTTGAAATGTCAACTAGCAGGAGGCTGGCTGTGTCAGGTGTTGAACCGTCAACTAGCAGGAAGCCGGCTGTGTCAGGTGTTGAACCGTCAACTAGCAGGAGGCCGGCTGTGTCAGGTGTTGAACCGTCAACTAGCAGGAAGCCGGCTGTGTCAGGTGTTGAACCGTCAACTAGCAGGAGGCTGGCTGTGTCAGGTGTTGAACCGTCAACTAGCAGGAGGCCGGCTGTGTCAGGTGTTGAACCGTCAACTAGCAGGAGGCCGGCTGTGTCAGGTGTTGAACCATCTACCAATCTTATTGCTGTATATACGACTACTTGTTTCATTCATAATTAAGTCAGAAACGTCTTAATAACTGCTATCATTCCAATTTCTTCACAACATTAAAAAATTCTCATTGTTCTTGAGGAATAGTTTCTATTACATTCTGAACTTAGCAAGTAGAGTTCCCTGAGCACTACCTTCTCCACTCTCTCTTCCTTTCAACCTTAAATGTTCATACTTTCTTCCAAGATATATATTATATTTCCGGCCATTATTAAGAAACCACATTTTTCTAAGTGTTGGTTGTTTCTTATGAACAAAGGTAACGAATGCGCATAAGTGAACTTTCTTCCACCAAGTCGACTTTTCAATCGTTCCTTCGGGTCACTTTCCCCGGGGGAGCCGTATTTCCTGGCGCTTGTATACAACAGTCGTTGTTGTTGTTGTTGCTAAAGATTCGCTACCTGGAACAAAGTTCCAAGTAGCACGGGCTATGGTGAGCCCGTTAGAACAGTCTTCTTGTAGCACACAAGCTCCTTCCTCTCACCTTCATCACCATCACCTTCTTACCAAGAAACTAGCGTTGTCGCCATAGTTACGTACACTACAGTGTATCAGCACACTATACAGTGTACCACCATACTATACAGTGTACCAGCACACTATACAGTGTACCACCATACTATACAGTGTACCACCACACTATACAGTGTACCAGCCCACTATACAGTGTACCACCACACTATACAGTGTACCACAACGCTACAGTATACCTATCAACAATACAGTGTTGTAAGCTAGTAATGTTTTGGGCATTCACATAATATACAGTACTCAACAGATTATATATCACATTCAGGATATGTTTAGGAATGTTTAATGTGTGTGGAGAGCCAGAGGCAGAGGTCCGCTGGGCACGCCCACAACACTGGTAGCTGCGTCCAGCCCTAACGGTTAACTGTACACCTCAGTGGAGCCTCAGGCCTCCCTGTGCATCACATTGAAGGTAGGTGTAGGTGTGTAGGTGTAGGTGTGTAGGTGTAAGTGTGTGTGTGCGTGTGTGTGTGTGTGTGTGTGTGTGTGTGTGTGTGTGTGTGTGTGTGTGTGTGTGTGTGTGTGTGTGTGTGTGTGTGTGAGAGAGAGAGAGAGAGAGAGTTGAGGGGGTCAGGTGGGGTTGCTAGTTCAAGGGGTCACTGACCTCGATACTGATATGAACAATGGAAGCACTATATTCCTTTACTAATCACTGATAAAAATATGCTAAATAATCTATATTTACATTGATCATCCACCCATATAGGTTGACTATGTTTGGAGTGGGTCGGGGGGGGGGGAGGGGGTGAGAGAGTGGGGGAGTTGTGGGTTTGGATGGGAGAGGGGAGGGGGAGAGGGCAAATAAATTATGTTAAGGGTAGTGAGAGGGTGACTGGGGAGAAGGAATGGGAGTGGATAAGGTAAAAATAAGTTTTGGGAAGGATTAGATACGGTAAGTTCTAGATGTGGTAAGATGTGCGAAGTTCTTTGAGAGGCTTCGGATTGGGAAGGGGGGGGGACTTAATAAAATGGATTGGAGAGGAGGCTGTGGAAAAGACAGGTTAGCATTGGATGATGCTATTTGGGATAGGGTGATGGGATGAACAGTTTGACGGAGAGGAGGGGCAAGTTGGCAAATGAGATGAAGTGGTTGATAACGTAAGGGGCAGGTTGTGAAGGGATGGGCAGGCCGAGACGAGGTGGGGAGTGGCAGGGGGAAGGAAGACCAAGTAATTACAGGTTAAAATTCGTTGTGGAACAAAATGTGGTAGTGAGATGACCCACAGGTCGTAGGTCCCTCACCGCCTCCATGGGACTGTCCCCATGACACGGCCAAGGACGTGACACGGCCAAGGTCGTGACACGGCCAAGGTCGTGACACGGTCAAGGACGTGACACGGCCAAGGACGTGACACGGCCAAGGACGTGACACGGCCAAGGACGTGACACGGCCAAGGACGTGACACGGCCAAGGTCGTGACACGGTCAAGGACGTGACACGGCCAAGGACGTGACACGGCCAAGGTCGTGACAGAAGTGAAAGGTGGCGTAAATAAGTGCGGGGCGTGGATATAACAGAAGGAAAGTAGAACAAGAACGCGGGTGACTCTAGAGTACTGTGGGCGCGGTGAGTGAGGCGTGGCAGAGCAGCAGGAGCCACGCCCACCAACCCACGCCACCCACCGCCCCGCCGCTCTTCAGGAAGGGAAACGTTATTCCTCCCGATGACTTCTTCAGAGAGCTTTGATCCTCTGAAATGGCTTCCCTTTCGTGTTCCGATTCGAGGACGCCGCCGGCGGAAAGAGGACCGAGGAAGTTGTTGATGGAGTCGTCGAGGTCGGAGAAGTGGGCGAGGTCGTCCTTGTCGTTGTCAGCAGCGCTGTGAGGAATGTGGTTCTCCAGCCTCGAGTCTTCCTCTTCTTTGGTCACTCGCTGCTTCTGGGGCTGGATCTCTGAGGGAGAGAGACCGGGTGAGACAACAGATGAGACACACCTCATTACGAGCGTAGCTCTCATCCTCTAACTACACTAAGCTAATTACACAAGACCTGAGACAAACAGCTGAGACACAATAACAGCTGAGACACAATAACAGCTGAGACACACAACAGCTGAGACACAATAACAGCTGAGACACAATAACAGCTGAGACACAATAACAGCTGAGACACAATAACAGCTGAGACACAATAACAGCTGTGACACAATAACAGCTGAGACACACAACAGCTGAGACACAATAACAGCTGAGACACAACAACAGCTGAGACACACAACAGCTGAGACACAATAACAGCTGAGACACAACAACAGCTGAGACACACAACAGCTGAGACACAATAACAGCTGAGACACAATAACAGCTGAGACACAATAACAGCTGAGACACAATAACAGCTGAGACACAATAACAGCTGAGACACAATAACAGCTGAGACACACAACAGCTGAGACACAATAACAGCTGAGACACAATAACAGCTGTGACACAATAACAGCTGAGACACAATAACAGCTGAGACACAATAACAGCTGACACACAATAACAGCTGTGACACAATAACAGCTGAGACACAATAACAGCTGAGACACAACAGCTGTGACACAACAGCTGTGACACAATAACAGCTGTGACACAACAGCTGTGACACAATAACAGCTGTGACACAACAGCTGTGACACAATAACAGCTGTGACACAACAGCTGTGACACAATAACAGCTGTGACACAACAGCTGTGACACAATAACAGCTGTGACACAATAACAGCTGAGACACAATAACAGCTGAGACACAATAACAGCTGTGACACAATAACAGCTGTGACACAATAACAGCTGTGACACAATAACAGCTGTGACACAACAGCTGTGACACAATAACAGCTGTGACACAACAGCTGTGACACAATAACAGCTGTGACACAATAACAGCTGTGACACAATAACAGCTGTGACACAACAGCTGTGACACAATAACAGCTGTGACACAACAGCTGTGACACAATAACAGCTGTGACACAATAACAGCTGAGACACAATAACAGCTGTGACACAATAACAGCTGAGACACAATAACAGCTGTGACACAAGAACAGCTGTGACACAATAACAGCTGTGACACAATAACAGCTGTGACACAATAACAGCTGAGACACAATAACAGCTGAGACACAATAACAGCCGAGACACAATAACAGCTGAGACACAATAACAGCTGAGACACACAACAGCTGAGACACAATAACAGCTGAGACACAATAACAGCTGTGACACAATAACAGCTGTGACACAATAACAGCTGTGACACAATAACAGCTGAGACACAATAACAGCTGAGACACAATAACAGCCGAGACACAATAACAGCTGAGACACAATAACAGCTGAGACACAATAACAGCCGAGACACAATAACAGCTGAGACACACAACAGCTGAGACACAATAACAGCTGAGACACAATAACAGCTGTGACACAATAACAGCTGTGACACAATAACAGCTGTGACACAATAACAGCTGAGACACAATAACAGCTGAGACACAATAACAGCTGAGACACAATAACAGCTGAGACACAATAACAGCCGAGACACAATAACAGCTGAGACACAATAACAGCTGAGACACAATAACAGCCGAGACACAATAACAGCCGAGACACAATAACAGCTGAGACACAATAACAGCCGAGACACAATAACAGCTGAGACACAATAACAGCTGAGACACAATAACAGCTGAGACACAATAACAGCTGTGACACAACAGCTGTGACACAATAACAGCTGAGACACAATAACAGCTGAGACACAATAACAGCTGTGACACAACAGCTGAGACACAACAGCTGTGACACAACAGCTGTGACACAATAACAGCTGTGACACAACAGCTGTGACACAATAACAGCTGTGACACAACAGCTGTGACACAATAACAGCTGTGACACAACAGCTGTGACACAATAACAGCTGTGACAACAGCTGTGACACAATAACAGCTGTGACACAATAACAGCTGAGACACAATAACAGCTGAGACACAATAACAGCTGTGACACAATAACAGCTGTGACACAATAACAGCTGAGACACAATAACAGCTGAGACACAATAACAGCTGTGACACAATAACAGCTGTGACACAATAACAGCCGAGACACAATAACAGCTGAGACACAATAACAGCTGAGACACAATAACAGCTGAGACACAATAACAGCTGAGACACAATAACAGCTGAGACACAATAACAGCTGTGACACAACAGCTGTGACACAATAACAGCTGAGACACAATAACAGCTGAGACACAATAACAGCTGTGACACAACAGCTGAGACACAACAGCTGTGACACAACAGCTGTGACACAATAACAGCTGTGACACAACAGCTGTGACACAATAACTGCTGTGACACAACAGCTGTGACACAATAACAGCTGTGACACAACAGCTGTGACACAATAACAGCTGTGACACAACAGCTGTGACACAATAACAGCTGAGACACAATAACAGCTGAGACACAATAACAGCTGTGACACAATAACAGCTGTGACACAATAACAGCTGAGACACACAACAGCTGAGACACAATAACAGCTGAGACACAATAACAGCTGAGACACAATAACAGCTGTGACACAAAACAAATGTGTCAGGGTAGTTAACAGGTGGAATGCACTAGGAAGTGATGTGGTGGAGGCTGACTCCATACACAGTTTCAAGTGTAGATATGATAGAGCCCAGTAGGATCAGGAATCTGTACACGAGTTGATTGACTGTTGAGAGGCGGGACCAAAGAGCCAGAGCTCAACCCTAGTTGCGCAAGCACAACTAGACGAGTACAACTAGGCGAGTACAGTAGGTGAGACATGCAACAGGTGAGAAAGGCAACAAGTGAGACATAGCAGGACACACAACAGGTAAGAAGCGAGACTGCTAATACAAAAGCCAAAATGTGAACTGGACAACCGTTGAGTAGTGTATATTTGGACACGGATGGGAACGTTTGTTTACGACTTCCACGAGGCTGCCGCTGACATCAAGGTGTTATCATTCCACATGACTACTGAATGTGAACCCAAAGTGGTCTGCTCCAAGGGTAAGTTTGACTAAGCTACGTGGCTCTCCTTCGTTCTCTGACATTTTCGAACAAACTTAGCTATCGTCTACAGGTATTTATAACTTAGTCTAAGCAAAGTTTTGCTAAAACAAACTATTGTGAAGCGTTTCTGAACATATCCGTAAGGACATAATTACCATCAGGCCTCTTTCCCACCGGGCACCTCTCTCTCTTGAAAAAATGTATTATCTGCCCCATTAATAAATTGTCTAATAACATCAAATAAAGATGATTATTCTCCCTCATAGCCGCCGGGCGTTGGCGAGTTGAGACAATTGGGTCACAACACTTAGATGGGCATTGATCGCTTCCCAAGTTTTTCAGACGTAGGCCTCTTGGTCCATAGAGACCTCTGACGAATGCACGCCTAACTAAATGTTTGCAGACTTTATCTACGGTGTCCAGTCTGTCCCCCACACACCACAACAACCACAAGAGAACTCGTACACTGCAGCAAAAGATCATAGCATCAGCACACTCGCCGACCAACAAGTTTAAACGAGTTCTTAGAGTATTGAGCTTTGTTTAAAGTCTCCAAAGATACACACACACAAGGCTGAATATTGATGCCTATTTTAACCCTGTACAGTTATCACACGAGTCTTGGATTTAAGCTCCTCTCTTATGCTGTTATTCATAGCCTTTTACACACGGCAAAACCTCCCTCCTTCTTGATTTGTTAACTTGACACATTATATATTTGATATGGACGCTCCCACCCTGGCGTCCCTACCCTCCCACCCTGGCGTCTCTCCCCTCCCACCCTGGCGTCTCTCCCCTCCCACCCTGGCGCCTCTACCCTCCCACCCTGGCGCCTCTACCCTCCCACCCTGGCGCCTCTACCCTCCCACCCTGGCGCCTCTACCCTCCCACCCTGGCGCCTCTACCCTCCCACCCTGGCGCTTCTACCCTCCCACCCTGGCGCCTCTACCCTCCCACCCTGGCGCCTCTACCCTCCCACCCTGGCGTCTCTCCCCTCCCACCCTGGCGTCTCTCCCCTCCCACCCTGGCGTCTCTCCCCTCCCACCCTGGCGTCTCTCCCCTCCCACCCTGGCGTCTCTCCCCTCCCACCCTGGCGTCTCTACCCTCCCACCCCTCTCCCACCCTGGCGCCTCTACCCTCCCACCCTGGCGTCTCTACCCTCCCACCCTGGCGTCTCTACCCTCCCACCCTGGCGTCTCTCCCCTCCCACCCTGGCGTCTCTCCCCTCCCACCCTGGCGTCTCTCCCCTCCCACCCTGGCGTCTCTCCCCTCCCACCCTGGCGTCTCTACCCTCCCACCCCTCTCCCACCCTGGCGCCTCTACCCTCCCACCCTGGCGTCTCTCCCCTCCCACCCTGGCGTCTCTCCCCTCCCATCAACCTAACCTAACCTTCTCCCCATCTGATTAAGTCGAGTTATTTAATCTATGATATTAGCTAAATTTACCGTCATCACTCTTCTCCTTTAATTACAGAGCCGCAAGTCCTAATATATCTGGTGTCCGGTACTCACCGTAGGTGGTACCGGAGACGCTGGTACTCACCGTAAGTGGTACCGGAGACGCTGGTACTCACCGTAAGTGGTACCGGAGACGCTGGTACTCACCGTAGGTGGTACCGGGGACGCTGGTACTCACCGTAGGTGGTACCGGAGACGCTGGTACTCACCGTAGGTGGTACCGGAGACGCTGGTACTCACCGTAGGTGGTACCGGAGACGCTGGTACTCACCGTAGGTGGTACCGGAGACGCTGGTACTCACCGTAAGTGGTACCGGAGACGCTGGTACTCACCGTAAGTGGTACCGGAGACGCTGGTACTCACCGTAAGTGGTACCGGAGACGCTGGTACTCACCGTAGGTGGTACCGGAGACGCTGGTACTCACCGTAAGTGGTACCGGAGACGCTGGTACTCACCGTAGGTGGTACCGGAGACGCTGGTACTCACCGTAAGTGGTACCGGAGACGCTGGTACTCACCGTAAGTGGTACCGGGGACGCTGGTGCTCACCGTAAGTGGTACCGGGGACGCTGGTACTCACCGTAAGTGGTACCGGGGACGCTGGTACTCACCGTAAGTGGTACCGGGGACGCTGGTACTCACCGTAAGTGGTACCGGGGACACTGGTACTCACCGTATACCTGGACAGAGGAGGCGCTGGTGCCCAGAGAGTTGCTGGCGACGCAGCGGTAAGTGGTGGCGTCGTCCTTGGTGAAGTTGCGGATGGTGAGACTCATGAGGGTGACGTAGAAGCCTTCCTGGTCCTCGGACACATTGTATTTCCGGCTGCTGATGATCATCTGCTCCCCTGGACACGCACAACACACGGGGCCTTACTTAAGCGGCCACACATCTCATGATACATTGGTGTTATTGGCATGAGGACACATGCGGTGCTGGGGGGGGGGGGGGTACCGGGGTGAGGGAGGACACGTGGTACCGGGATGAGGGGGGATACATGTGGTACCGGGGTGAGGGGGGGGGACACAAATGGTACTGCGGTGAGAGGCCACACACACACGGTACTGGGGTGAGAGGCCACACACACACGGTACTGGGGTGAGAGGCCACACACACACGGTACTGGGGTGAGAGGACACACACACACGGTACTGGGGTGAGAGGACACACACACACGGTACTGGGGTGAGAGGACACACACACACGGTACTGGGGTGAGAGGACACACACACACGGTACTGGGGTGAGAGGACACACACACACGGTACTGGGGTGAGAGGACACACACACACGGTACTGGGGTGAGAGGACACACACACACGGTACTGGGGTGAGAGGACACACACACACGGTACTGGGGTGAGAGGACACACACACACGGTACTGGGGTGAGAGGACACACACACACGGTACTGGGGTGAGAGGACACACACACACGGTACTGGGGTGAGAGGACACACACACACGGTACTGGGGTGAGAGGACACACACACACGGTACTGGGGTGAGAGGACACACACACACGGTACTGGGGTGAGAGGACACACACACACGGTACTGGGGTGAGAGGACACACACGGTACTGGGGTGAGAGGACACACACACACGGTACTGGGGTGAGAGGACACACACACACACGGTACTGGGGTGAGAGGACACACACACACACACGGTACTGGGGTGAGAGGACACACACACACATGGTACTGGGGTGAGAGGACACACACACACATGGTACTGGGGTGAGAGGACACACACACACACATGGTACTGGGGTGAGAGGACACACACACACAGGGTACTGGGGTGAGAGGACACACACACACATGGTACTGGGGTGAGAGGACACACACACACGGTACTGGGGTGAGAGGACACACACACAGGGTACTGGGGTGAGAGGACACACACACGGTACTGGGGTGAGAGGACACACACACACAGGGTACTGGGGTGAGAGGACACACACACACGGTACTGGGGTGAGAGGACACACACACACGGTACTGGGGTGAGAGGACACACACACAGGGTACTGGGGTGAGAGGACACACACACACAGGGTACTGGGGTGAGAGGACACACACACACACGGTACTGGGGTGAGAGGACACACACACACAGGGTACTGGGGTGAGAGGACACACACACACACACATGGTACTGGGGTGAGAGGACACACACACACGGTACTGGGGTGAGAGGCCACACACACAGGGTACTGGGGTGAGAGGACACACACACACATGGTACTGGGGTGAGAGGACACACACACGGTACTGGGGTGAGAGGACACACACACAGGGTACTGGGGTGAGAGGACACACACACGGTACTGGGGTGAGAGGACACACACACATGGTACTGGGGTGAGAGGACACACACACACGGTACTGGGGTGAGAGGACACACACACACGGTACTGGGGTGAGAGGACACACACACACGGTACTGGGGTGAGAGGACACACACACATGGTACTGGGGTGAGAGGAGACACACACACACACACACACGGTACTGGGGTGAGAGGCCACACACACACGGTACTGGGGTGAGAGGACACACACACACAGGGTACTGGGGTGAGAGGACACACACACACATGGTACTGGGGTGAGAGGACACACACACACGGTACTGGGGTGAGAGGACACACACACACACACGGTACTGGGGTGAGAGGACACACACACACGGTACTGGGGTGAGAGGACACATGGGATTAATGGGGGAGAGTGATAATACATAAATAACACACATTTCTCTTCTTATCACACTAAAAACTGACATCTGTCTCGGCACACTAATACGAGACACGTCTATCTCTAGCACATTAACAAGAGACCTCTGTCCTTAACACACTAACAAGAGACCTCTGTCCTTAACACACTAACAAGAGACCTCTGCCCTTAACACATTAACAAGAGACCTCTGACCTTAACACATTAACAAGAGACCTCTGACCTTAACACATTAACAAGAGACCTCTGACCTTAACACATTAACAAGAGACCTCTGACCTTAACACACTAACAAGAGACCTCTGACCTTAACACACTAACAAGAGACCTCTGTCCTTAACACACTAACAAGAGACCTCTGACCTTAACACATTAACAAGAGACCTCTGACCTTAACACACTAACAAGAGACCTCTCGCCTTAACACATTAACAAGAGACCTCTGACCTTAACACATTAACAAGAGACCTCTGGCCTTAACACACTAATAACGCAACTCGTCCTCCTAATTGGACGTCGCATTTTGACATTTTACCTAAGGCCAAAAATTTATGTACTAGAAAATGTTTCGCAAAATTGACATACTGTCCCGTTTTCTGTTTTGGGTTCTGTGGAAGGTTAGGATAAGGGCACTTTAGTCCAGCAGTTTCTTGACGTTGGGAAATATTTTTAGGACGGGTTTGAATAACAGACGCGTCTTTCATTAACACAATATTAAGACTCGGATGCGTCCTTAACACATTACGAGAAATGACTACTAGACTTTAACCCTGGCAAATGCAAGGTTACAAGGATAGGTGGGGGAGTGAGAAAGCCTCATATCTGAAGGTAGGGCTAGGAGCCTAGGGCTAGGAGCCTAGATCGAGCCTGCATGCACATCTAGGTGAAAATCCACACACAGATACTGGAAGAGTTACCTGGTTCTCTCCGCCAAGTTGTGACGGCGCGGGGCGAGGACTCCACCTTACACCTGACGGTGACGTCCTTGGAGAGCGGGGAGCCGATCATGTGGACGGGCACCTCGAGCACCGGGGCGACTGTTGGCCACACAACACACTCTGTCTCTCAACAATATATACACTGACTTACTCTCACAACTATATACTAATATCGCAGTATAGATCAGGAGGCGGTCTTTCTTAGGTATAGAGCAACATATGAAACAGTAGCAGCTGGGGGCTGGATGCAGGTGGGTGATTGTGAAGGTGGGGCAGGTGTGTGAAGGTGGGGCAGGTGTGTGAAGGTGGGGCAGGTGTGTGAAGGTGGGCGGGTGTGTGATGGTTTAACTGGTCCAAGTAAATGGTCTTACACAGAGCTGTGTTGGAGATGAGCGCCGGTTTAGATGACTGGGGGGGGAGGGGGGGAAGTACAGGCATTTGGTTATGGTCATTGGAGGATGGTCGGAGTAGGTGGGTGGGTGGAGTAGGTGGATGGTCGGAGTAGGTGGGTGGGTGGAGTAGGAGGATGGTCGGAGTAGGTGGGTGGGTGGAGTAGGTGGATGGTCGGAGTAGGTGGGTGGGTGGAGTAGGTGGATGGTCGGAGTAGGTGGGTGGGTGGAGTAGGAGGATGGTCGGAGTAGGTGGGTGGGTGGAGTAGGTGGATGGTCGGAGTAGGTGGGTGGGTGGAGTAGGTGGATGGTCGGAGTAGGTGGGTGGGTGGAGTAGGTGGATGGTCGGAGTAGGTGGGTGGGTGGAGTAGGTGGATGGTCGGAGTAGGTGGGTGGGTGGAGTAGATAAGTGGAGGGAGAAGGTGGGATGCTTGTGGGAATATGTGAAGGTGGATGGTGGAAGAACTTGGGCTTGTACAGAATGGTGGTGGTAGGGGTGCAGGTAGGTGGTGGAGGTGGTGGTGGTGGTGGTAGGGGTGCAGGTAGGTGGTGGAGGTGGTGGTGGTGGTGGTGGTGGTGGTGGTGGTGGGTGGTAGGGGTGCAGGTAGGTGGTAGTGGTAGTGGTGGTGGAGGTAAGGAAAATATCCACTGTTAATGTATAAATATAATCTGTGGCTTTAACTCTAGCCAACGTGATTGAAATCCAATTATGGATTTACAAAATTACAGCATTACCGATGTTTAAAATGTATTAGAACTAGTCTTGTTAAACAATGTACGATAGCCATTATAAGAGATAATCACATCAATTGAATTAAATCTACTTAAGACATGTATTAAGTACCACAATATTTCCAGAATAATGTTCTGTGAAAGGAGATTAACATACAAACATTAAAATCAAAACATATTTGTGTAATGTTAAACTACTCACTCTCAATAATTAATTATTAAATGAATTTATAAAAGACTCCCGATTATTGATATACCTGACCGAAATTAACTTTAAAACTCCACGATTATTTACACAGTGATAAAACTGCGTGAAGCTTTGCCCCCCGCGCCACGCCGCGCCGCGCCACTCTCAACTGTCAACTGGCTCACTATATGTTGTTATAGATTTAACTGCTCGGAACAAAAGTTGCAAGTAGCACAGGCTATGGTGAGCCCGTAGTGGACTTCGCTACCCACAATTCAAAGAAGTCGGATGTACTATTTGACTCTAAAGCCCATCACAAGATTATAGCTTAATTAGGCAAAATAACTAGCACTCACTACTGTCTTATGTATTGGACATTGTCGCTTTTATAGAAATGTTCAAGAAAATAAAAACCTACATTGACAATTGTTCTATTACTCATCAGAGACGAGGACAGCTGTTAGTTAAGAGACAGCCGAAGTTAAGAGACGTCCCGCGACCCGGACCGCGACCAGGCCCGCGACCAGGACCGCGACCAGGCCCGCGACCACCTCTCACAGTATCACCTACACATATGGTTATGTCCGGTGGGTGGGTGGGTGGTGCTACGGTGGACGCTTAACCACATAAACCAGGATTGTGTTATCGTTACAACACACACCTACAAAAAGTCACTAAGAATGACTTCGTGTATGATTCTTTCAGTGAGTAAATATTGTGGTTAATTTACTTTATAATCATATTTGCAATAAACTAGAGAACCTGGTGATATTATGTTGCATCAACTAGTCAACACTGACCAATGGTTTTATGGTTGTTGTTCTAGGTGTGGCTCACCTTCCTTCCTTAGTCCTCTCCCAACAGTGCTGGGGTGCGGGTGGGTAGTGGTGGTGACAAGTGGGTGGTGCACGTGGGGACAGGGGTACTGGTAGGTAGTGGTAGCAGGGGTGCAGGTGGTAGCAGGGGTGCAGGTGGTGGCAGGGGTGCAGGTGGTGGCAGGGGTGCAGGTGGTGGCAGGGGTGCAGGTGGTGGCAGGGGTGCAGGTGGTGGCAGGGGTGCAGGTGGTGGCAGGGGTGGCCCACTTACAGTTCACTCTCAGCATAATACGCTTGCTGACAGAGGGAGGGATGCCGTTCTTGGCTATGCAGAGGTAAGGCCCCATGTCCGAGCGCTTGACCCGCGTCAGCTGAAGCTGCTCGCCTTCTGTGCTGGGCACTGTACCACCGTCAGCACAGGTACCAGCACCATAGTACCACCGTCAGCACAGGTACCAGCACCATAGTACCACCGTCAGCACAGGTACCAGCACCATAGTACCACCGTCAGCACAGGTACCAGCACCATAGTACCACCGTCAGCACAGGTATCAGCACCATAGTACCACCGTCAGCACAGGTACCAGCACCATAGTACCACCGTCAGCACAGGTACCAGCACCATAGTACCACCGTCAGCACAGGTACCAGCACCATAGTACCACCGTCAGCACAGGTACCAGCACCATAGTACCACCGTCAGCACAGGTACCAGCACCATAGTACCACCGTCAGCACAGGTACCAGCACCATAGTACCACCGTCAGCAGCAGTTTCATGAAATAATGTACATTAAACAGAGTTCATGTTTCTTCCTTCCACACAACTTTCACTTATTATTTTTTTCTGCATCTCCATCCATCCCCCCCCCCAACCGCCCCCCCCCTCCTCTCTCTCTCTCTCAACTGTCAATCACATACCTGGAGCTCTGGTATCACCATCACAACCTGGAGCTCTGGTATCACCATCACAACCTGGAGCTCTGGTATCACCATCACAACCTGGAGCTCTGGTATCACCATCACAACCTGGAGCTCTGGTATCACCATCACAACCTGGAGCTCTGGTATCACCATCACAACCTGGAGCTCTGGTATCACCATCACAACCTGGAGCTCTGGTATCACCATCACAACCTGGAGCTCTGGTATCACCATCACAACCTGGAGCTCTGGTGTCACCATCACAACCTGGAGCTCTGGTGTCACCATCACAACCTGGAGCTCTGGTATCACCATCACAACCTGGAGCTCTGGTGTCACCATCACAACCTGGAGCTCTGGTGTCACCATCACAACCTGGAGCTCTGGTGTCACCATCACAACCTGGAGCTCTGGTGTCACCATCACAACCTGGAGCTCTGGTGTCACCATCACAACCTGGGAGCTCTGGTGTCACCATCACAACCTGGAGCTCTGGTGTCACCATCACAACCTGGAGCTCTGGGGTCACCATCACAACCTGGGAGCTCTGGTGTCACCATCACAACCTGGAGCTCTGGTGTCACCATCACAACCTGGGAGCTCTGGTGTCACTCTCACAACCTGGAGCTCTGGTGTCACCATCACAACCTGGGAGCTCTGGTGTCACTCTCACAACCTGGAGCTCTGGTGTCACCATCATAACCTGGGAGCTCTGGTGTCACTCTCACAACCTGGAGCTCTGGTGTCACTCTCACAACCTGGAGCTCTGGTGTCACTCTCACAACCTGGAGCTCTGGTGTCACTCTCACAACCTGGAGCTCTGGTGTCACCATCACAACCTGGGAGCTCTGGTGTCACCATCACAACCTGGAGCTCTGGTGTCACCATCACAACCTGGGAGCTCTAGTGTCACTCTCACAACCTGGAGCTCTGGTGTCACCATCACAACCTGGGAGCTCTGGTGTCACCATCACAACCTGGAGCTCTGGTGTCACTCTCACAACCTGGAGCTCTGGTGTCACTCTCACAACCTGGAGCTCTGGTGTCACCATCACAACCTGGAGCTCTGGTGTCACCATCACAACCTGGAGCTCTGGGGTCACCATCACAACCTGGAGCTCTGGGGTCACCATCACAACCTGGAGCTCTGGGGTCACCATCACAACCTGGAGCTCTGGGGTCACCATCACAACCTGGAGCTCTGGGGTCACCATCACAACCTGGAGCTCTGGTGTCACCATCACAACTGGTAATGTGACCTTTCTTGCTGCTGTGATCCCTGAGGACGATCTTGAGGTTGTCCTCACGCCTCCAGGAGACGACGGGAGGCGGGTAGCCGCGGGCCTTGCACGTCAGGGTGACGGAGTTGCCTTCCTCCACCGTCGTCTCTCCCGACGTCTCGTTGTCCACGATCTGAGGCGGGACCACCACGTCCAGGTGCGCCATCTGTGGAGGCCGCGGGCATCTGTAGCTTCGCACTTCCATCAGGCAAAACATTATGAGGAGGATCAAGACAAGAAGATAGTATGAGGCTACAAGATGACCTAGACAGACTGAAGGAATGGTCCGACAAATGGCTACTACAGTTCAACCCAAGTAAATGTAAGGTGATGAAACTAGGCGGAGGAAATAGGTCAGACACAGGATACCGAATGGAAGAGGAAGTCCTTCATGAAACGGACAGAGAGAAAGATCTAGGAGTTGATACCACGCCAAGCCTGTCTCCTGAAGCCCACATCAAAAGAATAACATCAGCGGCCTATGCGAGGCTGGCTAACATCAGAACTGCCTTCAGAAACCTGTGTAAAGAATCATTCAGAACCTTGAATATCACATGTGTAAGACCAATCCTGGAGTATGCGGCCCCAGCATGGAGCCCGTTCCTAGTCAAGCACAAGACGAAGCTGGAAAAAGTTCAGAGGTATGCCACTAGGCTAGTCCCAGAACTAAGAGGCATGAGTTATGAAGACAGACTACGTGAACTGCACCTCACGTCGCTGAAAGACAGAAGAGCTAGGGAAGACATGATCACCACATACAAAATTCTCAGGGGAATTGACAGGGTAGACAAGGATGGATAATTTAACACGGGAGGTACACGCACAAGGGGACACAGGTGGAAGCTGAGTACCCAAATGAGCCACAGAGACATTAGAAAGAACTTTTTCAGTGTCAGAGTAGTTAATAAATGGAATGCATTAGGCAGTGATGTGGTGGAGGCTGACTCCATACACAGTTTCAAATGTAGATATGATAGAGCCCAGTAGGCTCAGGAATCTGTACACCAGTTGATTGACAGTTGAGAGGCGGGACCAAAGAGCTCAACCCCCGCAAACACAACTAGGTGAACTAGGTGAGTACACAAGTATACACACAGCAGCAGGAGGGTTGATCTCAGTGTTGCCAGACAGAAGCCACAGTCCGGGGGAGGAACACTCAGGTTGCCTCTACCAAAATACACGAACACGGCCGCCAGTCACCTTCATCAGCAGCAGCTCGCAACTTTGTCAAGTTCCAGTTCGTACAACAACCATTTTCCAGTCAAACTTAGTGAAGGAGCAAGACTAAATGGGCGGAAGAGGTGGCAAGTTTAATGAGTGAATTATAACAATGTGTTTTTGAGACGTTCCGGGGGTGAGGGAGACGTTCCCGGGGTGAGGGAGACGTTCCGGGGGTGAGGGAGACGTTCCGGGGGTGAGGGAGACGTTCCCGGGGTGAGGGAGACGTTCCGGGGGTGAGGGAGACGTTCCGGGGGTGAGGGAGACGTTCCGGGGGTGAGGGAGACGTTCCGGGGGTGAGGGAGACGTTCCGGGGGTGAGGGAGACGTTCCGGGGGTGAGGGAGACGTTCCGGGGGTGAGGGAGACGTTCCGGGGGTGAGGGAGACGTTCCCGGGGTGAGGGAGACGTTCCCGGGGTGAGGGAGACGTTCCCGGGGTGAGGGAGACGTTCCAGGGGTGAGGGAGACGTTCCAGGGGTGAGGGAGACGTTCCAGGGGTGAGGGAGACGTTCCGGGGTGAGGGAGACGTTCCGGGGTGAGGGAGACGTTCCGGGGTGAGGGAGACGTTCCGGGGTGAGGGAGACGTTCCGGGGGTGAGGGAGACGTTCCGGGGGTGAGGGAGACGTTCCGGGGGTGAGGGAGACGTTCCGGGGGTGAGGGAGCACGAGGGTTAAGACCACAGAGTTATGAAGAAAGATACTGAATGAAGCATTACTGGCTGGTGGGCCATGAGGGAGTGGCCACAATGGTGGACCATGAGGGAGTGGCCACAATGGTGGACCATGAGGGAGTGGCCACAATGGTGGACCATGAGGGAGTGGCCACAATGGTGGACCATAAAGGTGGACCATAAAGGTGGACCACGAGGGAGTGGCCACAATGGTGGACCATAAAGGGCCATAAGGGTGGGCCATAAAGGGCCATAAGGGTGGGCCATAATGGTAGGCCATAAAGGTGGACCATAAAGGTGGGCCATAAAGGGCCATAAAGGTGGGCCATAAAGGTGGGCCATAAAGGGCCATAAGGGTGGGCCATGAGGGAGAAGCTATAAGGGCTCGACCTGAATGGCTCTGTCATAAAAGTGTAATGAGATTCATTTACATAAACGCTGCTACTTTTACCTGAGTTTTAATTACTTACAAGATAAAGAATTGTAATTACTGGGCTAGCTACTCCAGGTCCACCAGGTGATCGATTGTGAGAGGCTGGGGAGAGGTGGAGAGTGAGGAGAGGTGGAGAGGGGAGAGAAGGGCGAGTGAGGAGAGGTGGAGAGGGGAGAGAAGGGCGAGTGAGGAGAGGTGGAGAGGGGAGAGTAGGGCGAGTGAGGAGAGGGGAGAGTAGGGCGAGTGAGGAGAGGTGGAGAGAAGGACGAGTGAGGAGAGGTGGAGAGGGGAGAGTAGGGCGAGTGAGGAGAGGTGGAGAGGGGCGAGTGAGGAGAGGTGGAGAGGGGAGAGAAGGGCGAGTGAGGAGAGGTGGAGAGGGGAGAGTAGGGCGAGTGAGGAGAGGTGGAGAGGGGAGAGAAGGGCGAGTGAGGAGAGGTGGAGAGGGGAGAGAAGGGCGAGTGAGGAGAGGTGGAGAGGGGAGAGAAGGGCGAGTGAGGAGAGGTGGAGAGGGGAGAGAAGGGCGAGTGAGGAGAGGTGGAGAGGGGAGAGAAGGGCGAGTGAGGAGAGGTGGAGAGGGGAGAGAAGGGCGAGTGAGGAGAGGTGGAGAGGGGAGAGAAGGGCGAGTGAGGAGAGGTGGAGAGGGGAGAGAAGGGCGAGTGAGGAGAGGTGGAGAGGGGAGAGAAGGGCGAGTGAGGAGAGGTGGAGAGGGGAGAGAAGGGCGAGTGAGGAGAGGTGGAGAGGGGAGAGAAGGGCGAGTGAGGAGAGGTGGAGAGGGGAGAGAAGGGCGAGTGAGGAGAGGTGGAGAGGGGAGAGAAGGGCGAGTGAGGAGAGGTGGAGAGGGGAGAGAAGGACGAGTGAGGAGAGGTGGAGAGGGGAGAGAAGGACGAGTGAGGAGAGGTGGAGAGGGGAGAGAAGGACGAGTGAGGAGAGGTGGAGAGGGGAGAGAAGGGCGAGTGAGGAGAGGTGGAGAGTGGAGAGAAGGTCGAGTGAGGAGAGGTAGGAAGAACAGGGAGAATAAGTGGCAGGTGGGTTGGAAGAGATAGGGAGAGGCAGAATGGTAGAGGAAAAGGCATTAGGGAAGAGGGAGAGGCATCAAGAAAGATGGTGTGAGCAGGAAAGAGGGAGTTTATAAAATATATTGTTTTCGATATGACAATTATCCCGCCTGATGCTTCCTGTTGCCTCACACTCTCACAATTATACCTTTACTCTCACAGTCACACTACCAGTTACCCGTTCACCGTAAAGGCTTGAGTCTTAACCTTTCTTTGGACAAGAAGTTCTTAACTACTTTGTAAATTTGATGGGTTAATGTCCGAGAAGGGTAGTTGCCTCCCCCCCCCCCCACACCCCCTGTCCTGGTTAATGTCCATCCGTGATGCTTGTCACCTTCCTTACAAGCACAGGTCGCTGCTGCCTTATCCATGACTTGCATCTTGGAGGTAAATAAGTTTTGTTAGTTGTTGAGCCTATTCATTAAGGCATCAGTTTAAGGCGGGCTTGTGTCCACAGATGAATGACCTCGCCGGTCTTCACATACAAACCAACAGACTTTCGATCCAATTTCTCCTGATGTAAGTTTTTCCTCTAGTTTCTGATTTCCGTTTGGAAATAACCCAGTTTCAGGAGAAAAATAACAGTGCAGGAAAATGTAATACACCCGAGGACAGGGAGTAGACAAATTCACTACAAACAACAAAGAACTGTGCGAGGAACACAAGAAGAAACTCCAGGAGGACTTCACATTAGAGCAAGGGGAAGTCCCAGAGTTAAGAGAGGGAATATCTAACCAGACACCACTAGATGAGTTTGTGATTACCTTTGGGGAGGTGAAGAAGCATCTGCTAGAATTGGATGTGACAAAGGCTATAGGCCCGGATGGACTCTCACTATGCATACTGAAGGAAAGAGCAGAAGCTCTGTGCCTGCCACTTTCCACAGTATACAACAAACCACTGGAGAAATGCAGGTGAAATACCAAAAATTTGGAAGACGGCTAATGTAGTCCCGATATTCAAGAATGGTGATGGACAGGAGGCACTGAACTACAGGCCAGTGTCCCTAACTTGTATACAATGCAAGATTATAGAGAAGATTGTGCGAAAAAAATAGTGAAACATCTGGAGAAAAAGAACTTTGTAACAACATCAGCATGGGTTCATGGATGGCAAATCATGACTCACAGGAATAATTGAATTCTACGACCAGGCGACAAAAATCAGGCAAGAGAGGGCTGGGCAGACTGCATATTTTTGGATTGCCAGAAAGCCTTTGATTCAGTTCCACATAAGAGACTAGTGCACAAGCTGGAGGTACAGGCAGGAGTGAAAGGGAAGGTACTCCAATGGATAAGAGAGTACCTATGCAACAGAAGACAGCAAGTCACTGTGAGGGGTGAGGTCTCTGAGTGGGGACGCGTCACTCAGTCCCACAAGGATCAGTCCTTGGACCTATACTGTTTCTAATATATGTAAATGATCTCCCAGAGGCAATAGACTCGCTCCTTTCAATGATTGCCGATGATGCAAAAATTATGAGCATTAAGGTCGAGGAAAACATTATGAGGCTACAAAATGACCTAGACAAGCTGAAGGAATGGTCCAACAAATGGCTACTAAAGTTCAACCCAAGTAAATGTAAGGTGATGAAACTAGGTGGAGGAAATAGAAGGTCAGACACGGGAGCTGAAGTCCTTCACGAAACGGACAGAGAGAGAGATCTAGGAGTTGACAACACGCCAAACCTGTCTCCTGAAGCCCACATCAATTGAATAACATCGGCGGCGAATGCGAGGCTGGCTAACATCAGAACTGCCTTCAGAAACCTGTGTAAGGAATCTTTCAGAA